CTATTCCTGGGGCCTTATTTTTTGCTATTAATATAGCATCTAGTTATTGTTTTAATTATACGACAAACTCAAATTTATATTAAAAACTATTAGTTTTTTAAATTTTTATATTAAAAAACTTCCAAATTTGTTGAGAAAAGTCTGAAATATTACAAAAAAATATTTCAGATATAAACAGAGATTTGGCCAACAAATTTTTATTCAACCAAAGTTCTTGAAGTAACATTTTATCATCATAATTTTGGAAGATAAGATGCTCCTTTTAATTTGACAAGAAAGTTGATTTAAGAAAATCCAAACTATTCTTATTTCACAAAGGATCAGCAAATATTTTATCTGCTCTGTGTTTTGAAACATTGCTAAAGGATATATTAGGTTCAGAACAATTAACACATTATGTTGAAGAAGTTTTGGTCCTTGGGCGGAAAGAGGAATTCTTCTAGAAAGTCAAGAGTTAGAAATGCAGGCAGTGACTGAGAAGGAGTTTGCCAAGAGTGACTTAGTCTGCAAATTATGTAGCTCAGTAATGAAATCTGTCTCCAGTATTAGCACTGTATGACAAGGCATCACAAATCCACCACCACTCCAAAATTTTCCTACAATCAGTTACAAAAGATTCCAAACTCCTCAAAGTGAAACAAAAATAATACAAATAATTTCATTTACATCCTTAAAATGAGCTAATTGAGGTGGAAAGTAATCTCCTCAAGAGTATTACAAATGAATTACTGAAAGCTATGAGCAACACTATAATTTTTTAAGACACTTTAGTATTTTCCTTTTAGAACACTCTAAAAGCCAGGACTATAACATACACACCAACAACTAGCATAAATATAATTTTTCTTTAAATTTTTTTAATTTTATTATTATTTTTGTGTGTCTGTGTACCGTCAAATCAGATCTGACTGGTACAGGAGGAGATTGTCCCTCCTTTCCCGGAAGAGCATCTGGTGGATTCAAACCATGGGCGTCTGGGATTGCAGTGCAGCTTCTTGCCACTAGGCCACCAGAGCTCCCCTCATAAATATAATTTGACATTACATACATTTTAAATAGTTCATTGAGTATTGTGATGTTAACGATTTATTATTCAAAATGGTTTTCTTAGCCACAGACCTTGACTTTGCCATGTAAATGGGCAGGAATATGCAAATAGGGCCCACCAGTCTATTATCTACAGGGGGATTGTCTAGTGTAAATTGAGCACATTCAGCAGCAGAATTTAAGAATATCATCATCAAAAAGGAAGAAGCAGAGAACTCAGTGCACCCTTTGGCGCTGCAGACCCTTGTGCCAGCAGACCTACAGGACGGCAGCAGCAGCCACAGCAGAGAACCAGAGATCTGACCTGAGACAGAGCTGACCTTGGGACTGCTGTTCCACGGTACCAGAGCCAGTAGTAGCCTTGGGTCAAGTTCTTTGAAGGATTAGGGGGTAGGAGTTAAGAAAACTCGGTAACACTGGCCTAATGCTGTGAGGCTGAAGGGGCTGTGAGTGCTCTTCAGAGGCTGTCCTGACTGAGAAATTCTATCCTGTTGTCAAATGAAATTATATCCTGTTAACTTCTCTAAATATCGTTGTTGTTGTTAGGTGCTGTTGAGTCGCTTGTGACTCATAGTGACCCTATGTACAACAGCTCTAAACTCTACTCTGTCCTGTGCCAATTGCACCAGCTCTGATACACCCATCCCAATTACCCCAGTCACTGAATCAATCCGCCTCATAGAGGGCCTTCCCTCCTGCGCCGTCCCTCCACCCTCCCAAGCATGATGTCCTTCTCCAAGTACTGGTCCCTTCTTACAACATGACCAAAGTATGTCAGACGAAGTCTCAGAATCCTTTCCTCCAAGGAGCAGCCCAGTTTAACCCTCTCTAGGAAGAATCTGTTTGTTTGTTTTTTTTCTTGGCAGTCCATGGTACCCTCAGCACTCTTCTCCAACACCAAAGCTCAAAAGCATCAATTTTCCTTCTATCCTCCCTGATCATGGTCCAGCTCTCTGATGCATAACAAGAGGCTGCAAAGACCATGGCCTGTATCAGATGCACCTTAGTCTCCAGAGACACACCATTGCTCTTCAGTACTTTAGAGAGGTCCCTAACAGCAGACTTTCCCATTGCAAAACGTCTTTTCATTTCCTGGCTGCTGGTGCCAAGAGTGTTGATTGTGGAGCCAAGCAGACGAAAGCTGTGAACAATCTCAATCTCTTCACCATCCATCCTGATGCTGCCAATTGGTCCAGTGGTGAGAATCTTTGTCTTCTTGACATTGAGCCTCAGTCCATACTGAAGGCTGCAGTCCTTGACCCTCTGCAGCAAGTGTATGAGGTCCTCCTCAGTTTCAGCAAGCAGGGTTGTGTCATCTGCATAACACAGACTGTTGATAGATCTTACACCAATCCTGATGCTGCATTTCTCCTCACAGAGACATGAGTATGGTTCTGTGAGCTCTATGGGCTATTGCAACAGATTTCAGACCCAGTAGAGCAGTAAGAGTGGTGCTGGAATTGATGGATAGAGATGAGAGAGTGTGGAGGGCATGTCAGACTTCATGGGATCTGGTTTTGTGTTGCAGAAATTGCTGGTGGGGACAGTTCCCCATCGTGGAATTAGCAGATGTCAGATATGGCCATCCCCACATGGTCCTTGCTTTTTTTACAAGTATCCATGAAAAACAAAAAGACCTCACTTTCTAAAATTATAAACTACTAGCGTCTGAATTTGTCTTTTTATACCCTTAACCCTGAGAAATCCACTTTTTTTTTTCATTTCCTAATACTGTGTGTTCCTCCTGCATTGACAACAGAAGGACCATTCTTGGAATATCCTACCTCCATCCACAATTAAACTGTCTATTTTTCTGGCCTTGTCTGGAAATTAAAGTGTTTCATGTTAATGAATTCTCCAAATAACTTAGATATACTGTTTTCAATGTCAACGCATCTTTTTCTTTTAATTGTTTTGTTGTTGATGATTGCTGTCAAGTCGAGCACAATTCATAGCAACTCTATGAACAAAAGACTTAATGCCTTTCCATAACTCTGATTGTTAACCCAAGTTCATAGAGTTTTCAGGGGCACGTGGTTTAGGAAGTAGATGACACTCTTGATTCCAAACCTGTTTTACAACTGGGAGCTCCACCAAACACTGTCCACAGTGGGAAATCTTTATTAGTTCACCAAAATACCTATTTATTTTTTTTAATGTAGTTGTTTTCTGTGGCCCTGGGGCCTGTTTTTCATTGTTTTTGATCAAGCATTCTTCAGGGTCGTATAGCCCTGGTATGTCCACTTGTGGTACAGAGATAACATGAGGTTGCTGTGAAGCTGAACACCGTGACACTGATGTGTCAAATGCAATAATGGTTACCCATGGTGGACAGTGTTTGGTGGAGCTCCCAGATTAAAACAATCTTGGAATCAGGAGTGGCATCCACTTCCATAAATAGCTTGCCTCTGGAAACTCTAGGAACCTGGAAAGAGGATGAAGGTCACACAAGTGTTGAGGACTTTCATTCTTAGGGTCGCTATGAGTCGCATGCAACTCGAGGGCACTTAATAACAACAGTTGTTTTTGTCTTCAAAACTCAAAGAGATACCTCACTACCATTGAGTAAACCTTTACTAAGGAGATTGCTCATATTTTTTCATGTGGAGCAGCTGGTGGACAAAACTGTTGTCCTGTAGACAAAACTTTTGCACTATGCCAGCAGGGCTCCGAACTCTGAGGAAACTTTTCCTCGAGACTCCCTAAAGCAGGCCCACTAAGACAGCACACACCTCACCCGGGTTACCCCTCCTCCTTTTTATCTCTGTTCCACTATGAGATTTTGCTACTCTTACTAACATTATGCCAGATTCTAGAAAATACCATTTTTACACAGGAAGAAAATGAGGCTCGGAAACGTCAAATAACCTGCCAAGGTCACAGCTGAGTGTGTGGAAGGGCTTATTTATGCAAAGCTCATACTCCACCCACTGCCTCTGCACAAGAAAAATGCAATGTGCTTTCTTAAAGTTATCAAATAAATCCCACTAGAGCTTAAGTGCGATTCCCCTAGGTTGGTGTACAGGTATAGATAACAGGAAAACGGAGATGTTTGGCCAAAGTTGCTTCCAGCTCTGTAATTTCGTTGTTTTAGAAGAGGAACTTTTCAAACTCTTTGCTACTTCCTTCTGGGTGAGTTAGGCCCATGAAGGAGTGAGCTTATTATGTGACAAATCTAAAAATAATTGCTGCCGCTTGCAGTGCTTGTACATTGTCCATCGAGGTGTTGCCCCGTTGAGAAAAACAAATACTTAAGGTTTTTTAAAGATTATCACAGTCTGCATCAGCAGTTCCAGAAAAAAAAGAGCTCCTTAGAAGCTCCTGCCCAGAGCAACAGCCAGCCAGAGCTTACCAGAAATACCCTAAAGCGCCACTTACTCTCCCTGCAGGTTGTTTTCAGTACAAATGCACAGTAAACAAACAAAGTTAGGAAGCATTTTAATAAACAGGAAGTCTGTGTTAGGATGATATTATTCCCACCTCAACAACTGGAAAACAAAGCGCCAGATTCGGACGTTTGTCCTGGACTAGAACCTCTGCTCATACCCAAGACGGAATAGCTAAACAGAGAGCTACTTGTCCATCATCTAATTAAAAATTATGTGACTAAGGTCTAAGAGAGATTAAAGGAACCACTGCAGGCGATTATCTAGTAATGTCCCTCGAACTGAGGGGCAACTGTAGTTAGAGACAATTACATGCATGGGGGGAAGAACTTCATTTGAAGTACGACTGATGATTTAGATCAAGGCATCAGATTTTACATTTTACAGCTCTTATTTGAGAAGATTATCAGGTGCCTTCCTAAAGAAGAAAAGCTACAAGAATTCTATTTCCTAATGTTATTGTTCATAACCAACTCCAGATGAAATAAGACCTTAACACAATGAAGCTGGTACTTTCATTTTATTTCCTATTTTAAAGATAAGGAAACTGAGATTTAGGGAGGTTAGGTAAATTACACAAGCTCATTTACTAGTAAGAAGAAAGCCATAATTTGAGCCAAGATCTATCTGACTAACGAGCTCATGCCTTTGATATACTGATGCCTAGATACCTCTGATATTCTGAAAGGAGGGCCATCGTTTGGAAAACGGGAGAAAAAAAAAGAAAAAAGACAAAAAAGCCAAACCTGAAAAGCTCTTCAGCTTTAGAAGTCATGAAAAATTACTAATTCAAAAAGAAAGAGAGTATGTATTAAGTAACCTCCCCTTAAATGGGAACTTCACAGCAGATTAGCAAAATAGCCTTTCAGAAATTCTAAAATAGAAATGAGACAGGTGAAATGAAGGAGAAATAGTATATATTGGAAGAAAAATAGGGCATGGAGTGATTCGAGGGGTTTTTCAATAACGAATTGCACCACTGGAACTTGAACCAACTTGAACCACAAGATTAACTTGCCAGCATGGAGAAAATTACCAAAGCCAACATTCTGAACATTTGTTTCTGAAGTGTGTCACCTCTTGCATGGGCCCTACCTCAGGAGCTGTAGCACTTACCTCTCTCTGAAAAAAATTCCAAGCATGAGTAAGCCACTGGTACCGAGGTAAGCCGTAATTTGTCATTCTTGCTTTCAAAGTGACCATATCTGACCACTGTACTGGGACCTGGAGACAAAAAGTATAGTATCAACAACTGTAACATACACACACGCTCACAAGTTCACTCACATAACCATGAAGTCTTGAAATACACTCCCATTGACAAATAACATTTTGAAGACTATTTTTTGTACTCTAAATTATATGGTTACTAAATATTTACCAAAAAATCTCTAAACGCAGAACTTTGTGCTAACTTTGTGCTAACATTACACCAATAAAATAATGAAAAATATCTGCAGTGCCATTATCAGGTTTAAGGAAATCTTAAAACAAGTAGGTACTTAAATGCCTTGTAGAGTCACCTGAAGGGCTACTTGTAATCAATGACCCCCCAAAAAAGGACCAATCAGCTCTCATAATACTTGTACTGTCATGTTTGGAATGACTGTGGTTAGTATGGCCTAGTGGCAAAAAGCTGTGCTGCAACCTGAAGGTACACAGTTCGAATCCATCAGCTGCTCTGTGGGAAAAGGATGGGCAATCTCCTCCTGTGCAATTACCTGACTCTGATAACCCACCAGAGGTTCGGCTATGGGTCTATTCTGACTCAAAGGTACACAACAACAATGTGATAAAGGGGTGGGGGTGGGGGGAGAGTAAAAAGAAAAAGAGTTTAAATCCAGTCAAGCCTCTCATTAATAGTAGCTCTAAAAATACCTCTCTCTCAAAAAAAAAATGGATTTTAAAGTCATGTTCAAATTTTAGAAAGACGAGTTGTCAATCTGAGTCATATTTTGTGCTTCCATTTTCAACTCATCTAATACCACTTCCCTTAACACTTTGGTCATGACAAACCATCAGGTATGCAATGCAGCACTTGGCCAGAATCTTAGCAGCCTATCATGGGACGTTTCATCTAAGGGATCAGAGCCATAATCAAAGTATACAAATCTTAGTCTCGTCAGACATGTGGCACTCAAGCAACCCTTGAGAAATCAGATACACAGCCATGTGCGCGTCATGCAGTAGCAGAGACCAGGCTTGGAATAGCACGCTAGTACTCGAGTGTAGTAAAGATCAGTGCGGGGGAAGGGGTGAAAAGAAGAGAAAGGGGAAAAGTGAAAAAATATAGCCTCAAAGGAGTTTGAGATATGGACTGCTTGGGAAAATTATAAAAAGCTAGTACCAGTAATGGAGTTCTGGTGGTCAGTGGTAAGGAGCTGCAATGCAATCCCAAAGGCAAGTGGTTCAAATCCACCAGCTGCTTGTGTGGGAGAAAGATGGGCAGTCTCCTCCTGTGCAATTCAACTGCCTCTGAAAACCTGCTGGAGGGTCAGCTATGAGTCAGCTCTGACCCAATGCTATGTAACAAAACAACAGTGGTAGAAACGGAGCTCTGGTGGCTTAGTGGTAAGGCACTGCATTGCCAACACAAAGAGACATGATTCAAATCCACCAGCTGCTCTGTGGAAGAAAGATGGCCAAACTCCACCTGGTGATTTACTGTCCCGGAAAGCCTGCAGGAGGGCCAGCTATGGGTCGGTTCTGACACAAGAGAACTCAACAAAAAAACAGGACTAGAAAGTAAAATCAAACTCTTACGGCCTAGTCAGCAGGGAGTTTCACTGCTAACACAAAGGTATGTCCTCGCAGGTTGTTCCAAGCCACTTGCAGTTCCACGGGAGGAAAGAAGGCAGCATCCTCGAATGCAGTTAACAGTCTCTAAAATCCACTGGAGGGTCAGCTGCGAGAGGTTTTGACTCAACAGCAATGAAAGTGAGTAAGAGTAGAAGAAGGGGGCAAGGTGCGAGGGCTCTTCTCCTTGCCACTGATTGCCTTGGAACCTTCTAGAGGGCTGCTGAGTCAGAAGAGATTCACGAACAGTGCGTTTGAGAGGTTTTTTGTTTGCTTGCTTGATCTGGGGATTTTTGGTGGTAGGAATAGTTTTTAAATGTATAATGACATACATTCTTTATCTTCAGCCTTGTTTTCAATTTCTATGAACTGGAAACCTACAATCGCAACCAAAACACCAAAGTCTAGGAAATTAACAAAAGTCTAAACGACTCGCAGAAAATGAGCATCATCTCACATCTTGTGGGGCATAAAGCACATGGATATTGATAAATTCCCCAGAAAATACTACTCAGAAACAATTCATGCTAGGGAGAAATTTTGATCTAGAGGAAGAAAAAGGAGGAGACAGGGGAAATGTGTACACAGCAGAGCAACAGGGAAAGAGAGGGTCAGCCTCCAGTGATTAGGACAGTCATTTTTTCCAAAACAAAGTATAGGTTTGTTCCCCTTTGTGACCACAATTGATCTGAGACCAGAAGTGGCAAGAAACAAGGGACCACTGAGGTTTTGGCACAAAATACTGCAATCTTGCCATAAAGCTGAACAGACATTTATGAGTTATTTACACGGAACAGCCCACAGCACAAAGCCCAGTTCTCCGTAAAGCTGGATTCTGCGAAATTTGGCAGATAATAAACTTTAATGGTACTTTTCATTCACACTGCCATTAGTGTAAAAGCAATAAAGAAACCTGACAAACTTCTTTGCTAAAGAACTATTTTCCACTGTTCACATTGAAACAGCCCTTGTTTTATTCCTGTGATTTCGTGGGGCAAATTGACCCAAGCAAAACAGTAATGCACGCCGTGGACTAAAGCATGCATCCAGCTTGGACCTCTGCAGTACCAGCATGCTTTCCACGACACATCCCTCCATATAATAATAGTAGAACTTCCTTTCATTTTCTAATGTTTTCTTAGAATTATATTAGAATTGTAACATTTCCTAATTGTCCTAAATTAATTTTAAACACGCTATCACTTAGATTAAGCCAATGTTAGTATCACCCAGCCACTGTACAATCCACTTAAAAGTCAACATAAAGTACATTCATTTTTAAAGACAGAGGAAATTGTTCTTTAAATTATAAAAGAGAGTGATATCAAAAGTTAAGGTAAGATTATCCTACATAGAGAAAGATAACTAGTGAAATAGGTATGAGGATCCAAGGTGGGGAGGGGAGGAGCAGAAGGGTGGGGACAGGCGGGCGGGGACTAATCATAGGGTTGTATAATTTGATGGGAAGAGGGAGGGGTGGGTAAAGGAAATGGGAAAGATTTGGTGTGAAAGAACAATGTATATGAACTTTGTAAGCAAACCAGTTTAAAAGAAAATTTATTTTTAAAAAATGCTAAGGTTAAGGCAAGGAGATTCTCACCACAGGGACAACTGGCAGCATCAGGATGGATGGTGAAGAGATTGAGATTGTTCACAGCTTTAGTTTGCTTGGCTACACAGTCAACACTCTTGGCACCAGTAGCCAGGAAAATAAAAGGCGTATTTCCATGGGAAAGTCTGCCATTAGGGACCTCTCCAAAGTACTGAAGAGCTATGGTGTCTCTCTGGAGACTAAGGTGCATCTGATACAGGCCATGGTCTTTGTGATCACTTGTTATGCATCAGAGAGTTAGTTGGACAGTGACTAAGGAGGATAGAAGGAGATGCCTTTGAGCTGTGGTGGTGGAGAAGAATATAGAGCAGTATGGACTGCTAGGAAAACAAACAGATTCATCCTGGAAAGGGTTAAACCAGGCGGCTCCTTGGAGGCAAGGATTCTGCAGCTCTGTCTAATATACTTTGGACATGTTGTAAGGAGGGACAGGTCCTTGGAGAGGGACAACATGCTTGGTAGGGTGGAGGGACAGGACAGGACAGGAAAGCCCTCTATGAGGTGGATTGATTCAGTGACTGGGGTAATCGGGATGGGTGTATCAGAGACGGTGCGATTGGCACAGGACAGAGCAGAGTTTAGGGCTGTTGTACATAGGGTTGCTATGAGTCGCAAGCAACTCGACGGCACATAACAACAAACAACAACAACAAGGTAAGGAGATTTAAGAATTAATAAAAGTATTGATCTCCTATCCTCTGAATGCCAAGGAGATAAATTTACCATTTGAAAACAGAAACACTGGAGAGACAGCATTACATAAAATACATAGAAACTAACTCCTTGGAACTAGTTTTTTTCCTTTCACTCTTCTAACCAGAACAAAGAGAGAAATAGAATAGAAATATAATACTCAAATGCAGTAACAAACTCCTATTTTAAAGACAGATTTTGTTTTGAAGACAAGTTTTTATTTCTTTTACATTAAATTTACGAAAACTTGCCATGGTTTGTCAATTAGTTTTTTTAAAAAATAGAAAAAACAATCATCAAATCTGCCTTCTTACAGAGTTGTCTTGGTGTGGAAGCAGGGGTATTTTCTCCAGGTTCAGATAGGTGGTGGCAGCTACATAATTCACCTATAAATTAGATGATACAGTGTAGCTTTGTGTCAACTTTCACTGAGTCCTCCAGACAGTCTCCCAAGAGAGCAGCAGCAGATCCACCACGCTGGTGTTGTGGGCCACTGAGCCACAAGCGACCCTCTGGAGTGTGCAGGGCCCATAGCGGACCCTCCAGTGGGTTTCCAGGGACAGTTGGTCCCATGGGAGGAGCCTGCCCATCATTAGCTGGTGAATTCAAACAATGTGCCTTTGGGATTGCAGTGCAGCTTCTTACGGCTAGGCCATAAGAGTTCCCTAGATCTACCACAGAATACATAACAACTGAATCAGTGTGATTCCATTTAACTACTTGTCAACCAAAATGTCTCCCTTCTCTGAAGTAAATAATCCATGTCATGATGGTTTTTCAACAGTATTTAAGAGTCCCAGGGGGAACTTGTCACAAACATCTTACTCTTATCCGTTGCTCCCCTGACTTCCTCTCTACTGTAATGGAGAAAGATTGTGGCTTACAGGACGGTGACATCTTATTTCTTTAAGAATTCCTCGGGTGTCTCCTAATGTAGTCAGTCCAAGAGCCACCTATTCAAAAACACTTCATAGGAGACTAAATTACTCCATGATGCTTACAGTGGAAAACTCTGGCTGGCCTCCATGAAAACAGTCCGCATTCCCAGATATCCAAAGGTATTATGACCTCACTGGTGACAAATGCCCCAATTAAATTAGCACACATGGAGTAGGAACAGCCACTGCAAGTGAGGGGGAGGCCCAAGTGCTGGACCAAATGGACTGGTGACCCCTCCAGGCTGAGGACATCTTATCCTCATTTACTCCAACATATCCACAAAGGCTGTCCCTGCAGCTTCACCCACTGAAACAAAAGAGGGTGAAGGTGCTCACGAGTGGTTTCCAAGTACCGAGTCTCAGACTGAGAGAGCATGTCTGCTCTATGCCGTACAAACAGCAACCCTTCAAACGCACTCCTAGACGTGGAAGAAGACCTGGAGGCTAATTTTGAAGAGGAGGGAGTGTATCTTCTCCTCATAGGTGTTATGCTGTCATCAGCATTTTATGCCGTTTTCATGGAGGCTTCTAAGCATGAGCAAAGAAATCGTGCTGCAGATGAGAAATCCTTCCTTTTATATACCGTAGCTGGAAAATCTCCTTTTAGAACAGAGTATTTTTACTCTGTTCTGTGCATGTTTTAAAACTTTGCAGAATTAAAGACATGCACCACAGCTTATCCCATGCAAAGCTACAAATCGTGACTTGGAAAGCTGCTTTAGAATAGATACATGAAAGGGTCTTTGTTCAGAAGCATTTGGGGTACTCCTGATACGGAGCAGTTATTGTTAGCTGCCATCAAGTCCATTTTGACTCTTGGCAAGAAATACCCTAATTAATAATAATGTGTTTCGATTACTCTAAAATAAAAAGATTTAGAAGGCTAGACTGAACACTGTTTGGCATCACGTTTACTTCCATTTTGAACTCACCATAATTTCCTGCTCATATGTCCAAACACCACAAGCCAGCTCTACACAGAAAATGACAAGTAAACTTCCAAAGTACTGCGGGAAAACAGAAAAGGATGCTGTTAGTATTGGATCAAAGCAAAACATGGTCTTTAGAGACAAGCTAAATGTTCTTCAGAGCTGTGTTCATCTGGCAGAAAAGCAGAGAGTAGTACATTTTCACAAGGCTTCCTTGACAACAGATGGAAGAAGGCTCAAGTTCAGAGACCTCTGCAGACAATACTCAAATGCTCACCTAAGGGGCCACTTCTTCTGGCTCATCTTCAGGGGAAAATCTTTTCTAAATGCCAGTACTCTGATTAGGTCGTCTATTTGATAAACTATAATCAAGATAAACTATAATCAAGTTCTCTAAACCAGGGGAGAAAAACGGAACCTATTTTTTTGAAGTTCCAGGCTCTACTTATAAGCAAATATTAACTAATCATCATAGGCAAGGGGACCACCGAGGTATTCTGAGCGATACAGGAGGAAATCTTAATTGTTGCTCATGCTTTTAAAAAATGTATAAACTAATGTTCTGTTACTGTGACACTGATGTGTCAAATGTGATAATGGTTGCCCATGGTGGACAGTGTTTGATGGAGTGGCATCCACTTCTGAAACAGCTTGCCTCAGGAATCTCTATGAACTTAGATAAATGATGAAAGTTATATGTGCTCAGGACTTTTGTTCATAGGATCACTATGAGTTGTGTACGACTCAATGGCACTTAATAATAAAACAATGTTCTATTACATGGTAGGCACTGCGATAGGCATAAAGAGTTTCAGAACTTCTGATAAAGTACATATATTGTTCTTACCAGAAGAGACCCTAATACTGTACCTGAGTGTCGAGAAGCCAAAGCAAAGGGAAGAAATCAGGAACTTAAAGACCTGAATACAAGATTCCAAAAGGCAGCTCTGGAAGGCTAAGCAAAATGTTACAATGAAATGTGCAAAGGGCTGGAGTTGGAAAATCAAAAGGGCTGAACTTGGCATTTCTTAAACTGAAAAAGAACTAAAGAACAAACTCAAGCCTCAAGTTGCAATACTTAAGGATGCTACAGGCAGAATACTGAATGATTCAGGAAGCATTAAGAGAAGATGAAAGGAGTACACTGACTCTCTGTACCAAAAAGAATTGGATGACAAAAGAATTTCATAAAACAACATATGATCAAAAGACAGTGGTGATGAAAGTTCAAACTGCTGAAAAAAATGGCAACAACAACAACAAAAACCCCACAAGACCCCAGGAATTGATGGGCTACCAATTTACATATTTCAACAACATATTTCAACAGCCTTGGACATGTTCACCAGGTTGTGCCAAGAAATCTACAGGACAACTACCCACCCAACTGACTGGAAGAGATCCATATTTATTTCTATTCCAAAAAAAGGTGAGCTGAAAGAGTGTGGAAATTATCAGACAATATCACTAAGATCACATACAAGCAAAACCCTGCTGAAGATTATTAAAAAAAAAATGACTGGAATAGTACATTGACAGAGAACTACCAGAAATACAAGCTGGGTTTAAAGGAGGCCATGTTACTAGAGACATCATTGCCAATGTCAGATGGATCTTGGCTGAAAGCAAAGAGTAACAGAGGAATGCTTATCTCTGTTTCATAGACTGTGTAAATACACTTAGTTGTGTGGATCAAATTCTGGCTAACTAACCTTGAGAAGAACAGAAATCCTAGAACACCTGATTGTGCTCATGTAAAACTTACACTTGGATCAGGAAGCAATCCTTACAACAGAGCAAGGAAACACTATATGGTTCAAAATAGGGAAAGGAGTGGGTCATGAATGTGTCCTGTCTCTATACCTTTTCAATCAGTATGCAGAACAGATCATTTGGGAGGCTGGGCTTTATGAGGAGGAATGTGGCATCAGGATTGGAGGAAGACTCATCAACAGCTTGAGATACGCACATGACACACCTTGCTTGCCGAAACTGAAGAGGACCTGAAGCATTTGCTGCAGAGGATCAAGGACTGAGGGTACAGACTGAAGCCCAACATCAAGAAGACAAAGATTCTCACCACTGGGCCGATTGGAAGCATCATAATAGATGGAGCAGAGATTGAGGGTGTTAACAATTTCAGCTTCCCGGCTCCATATTCAACACTCATGGCACCAGCAGTCAGGAAACCAAAAGATGAATTACATTGGGGACTGTCTGCTATCAGGGACCTCTGCAAAGTTCTAAAGAGTAATGATGTCAGTCTAGAGACTAAGGTGAACCTAATCCAGGCCATGGTCTTTGCAATTACTTGCTATGTATCTGAGAGCTGGTAATGACTAAGAATGACAGAAGAAGAATTGATGCCTTTGAGCTGTGATGCTGAAGAAGAGTACTGAACATACCATGGACCACCAGGAGGACAAAAAGGTCTGTCTTGGAGAGGGCGAAACCAAGTTTCTCCTTGGAAGCTAGAATTTTGAAGCTCCGTCTCACATACTTTGGACATGTGGCCAGGAGGGACCCATCCTTGAAGAATGATATCATGCTCAGAAGGGTAATGGGACAGCACAGGAGAGGAAGATTCTGGATGAGATGGACTGACACAATAACTTGGGTAACGGAAGGAGATGGGCTCAGGATAGTCCAGGGTTCAGAGCTATTGTACAGAGGGTTGCTATGAGTATTAGGTGACTTGTTGGCACATAACAACAACAATATGCCATCAAGTCAGAGCCTACCAACAGCTGATCCTCCAGCAGGTTTTCAGAGGCTTTAAATCACATGGGAGGAGACTGATTATCACTATTCTGGACTGGTAGATTCAAACCACCTGCTGTTGGGTTAGCAGCACAACTGCTTATCCACTAGGCCACCAGAGCTCTCTACAGCATTGGTAAAGAAATAGCAAAGTTGAATACAAAGTCAAAAACAGAAGTAAAGAGAGATTCAGAGCATCCTCTAAGAGATGTGTGCTGGGTCCAAACACTGAAGAAGACCAAAGAGAAGAAGCTCTGGTGGATTTGTTCTTAGCAAGTTCCTCCATGAGCCAAGGCTGCACTTCTCAGGCAGTTAAAATCCACCAAAGAAAGACAGGCAGTCTTCTCCTCTTGAGAGTTACAGCCTTGGAAACTCTGTGAGAAGGAATAAACTTGACAGCAGTAAGTTGAAATTTTTTTTAGAGTAAAGCATTGAGAAAATGCCAAGTAAATATTAATAAACATGTAGAGGTAGCCAAAAAGTAGAAGAATATTCATTAAACCGACTCATCTTGCATTAGTGGAAGGTCACAAAGGATGGTATCATCCTCATCTAATTAAGGTTGAGTTAGAAACAACTCACAGCTTCGGTGGGTTCCAGGCTGTAAACCAAACACAAGGACACTGCCCACCATTCTCCCTTGGAGATGCTGTCGATTTGAACTGCAACACACATCTCTTCTGTTTCCTTCACTGTATGTTGTTATCGTGATGTACCACCGTGTTGAAAGCAACCCACAGCTGACCCTCCAGTAAATTTTCAGAGGCATTAAATCACATGGGAGGAGACTGTCCATCTTTCCCTAACAAAGCAGCTAGTAGATTCAAACTGCATACCTTTGCTTTGACAGTACAATTCCTTACCACTAAGCCACCAGTTGTGCCATCTGCATAACAAAGGTTGTTGTTGAATCTTTCTCCAATCCTGATGCCACATTCCTATTCATAATGTTCACCTTCCCAAATGATCTGTTCTGCATATAGATTGAAAAGGTATGGCGATAGGACACACCTTTCCTGATCCTGAACCATGCAATGATTCCCTGCTCTGTTCTGACTACCGCTTCCAAGTATAGGTTTCACATGAGCACAATCAATTGTTCTGGGATTCCCATTCTTCTCAGAGTTAGCCACAGTTTGTGTGATCCACACAGTCAAATGCCTTTGTATAGTCAATGAAACAGAGATGGGCATTCCTCTGGTATGCTTTGCTTTCAGCCAAGATCCATGTAAGTTTGGCTATGATGGCCCGAGTGCCAGGGTCTCTTCTAAACCCAGCCTGTGCATCGACAGTTCTCTGCTGACATACTGTTCCAGTCATTTCTGGATAATCTTCAGAAGGGTCTTGTCTGCATGTGATATTTCCACACTCTGTTAGGTCACATTTTTTTTTAAATGGGAATAAATACAGATCTCTTCCATTCAGCCAGGTAGTTGACGTACAGATTTCTTGGTATAACCTGGTGAGTACGTCCAGAGTAGGATCTGTTTGCTGAAATATGTCAATTGGTATTCCATCAATTTCTGAGGCCTTGGTTTTTTGCAAATTCCTTCAGAGCAGCTTGAACTTCCTCCTTCATCACCATAAGTTCTTGATCAACAACCTGTATTACGCAGATGGCCACACACACACAACCTTGCATGCTGAAACTGAAGAGGACATGAGTGAGATGTTTGTTGCAGAAGGTCAAGGACTGTAATCTTCAATATGGATTAAAGCTCAACATCAAGGAAACAAAGATTTTTATCACTAGGCCCTACTGGCAGCTTCATGACGGATTGAGAAGAGACTGAGATTGTTGATAACTTCAGATTGCTTGGTTCCACAATCTTGGCACCAACAGTCAAGAAATCAAAGGCAAATTGCACTGGGAAAGTCTGCTATCAGGGACCTTTCTAGAGTCTTGAAGAGCAACGATGTCAGTCTGGAGACTAAGGTGCACCTGATCCAGGCCATCATTTTCACAATGACTTGGTATGCATCAGAAAGCTGGGCAACTCTCTAGGATGATAGAAAGATCGATGTCTTTCAGTTATGGTGCTGGAGAAGAGTGTTAAACATACTGTGGCCTGCCAGCAGAACAAACAAGTCTGTCCTGAAGAAAGTGAAACCAAGCTGCTCCCCGGAGGCAAGAATATTGAGATTTCAACTCACGTTCTTTGGGCATGTGGCCAGGAGGTACCAGTCCTTAGAGAGGGACATCATGCTTAGAAAGGTGGAAGGACAATGCAGGATTAGATGGATTGGAGCAGTGACTGGAGCAATGAGATCAGGTCTGTTGGAGATGATGAGATTGGTGCAGGACAGGGAAGCTTTCA